GTTGAACGCGCATATTTTGGTTTACTAGAAGCGTAACACTTCATGTAGGCTTTTAGGGTTAATCTTTAGAAACAAAACAGATTGTCAGAGCACTATCCTTTTCTTGATGAATATATAGTTATTTTTATAAAAGTAGGCTTAGACGAAATATTCAAAGGAGTTATGGTTATTGATACAAGAAGTCGCTTTGAAATTATTTTTTACCTATCAAAACTTAGCCAAAAAGCAAGCGAAGCTTTTCGTGGGACAATTATAAATTCGCGCTTGTGAGATTTTGGAAGCCTTGTAAATGACCAAGTTTTTAATGAAAAAATTAGAAAAAATATTTCAAGATGTGCCAGTATTACCATTTTCTTAAACTAACCAAAACGCATTTCACCGTGTAATAATTAAGCAGCTATGTTTTGCTTTCTCTTCATGGAGGCTTCACTATAAGTACATCAGCTGATAAAGAAGTTATTTCAAAGAATCATAAGTACTTCTGCTTTCAAGTTCTTGCCTCCTTCTAAATTATTCATTAATAGGGCACGGGATCTCTTTTCAATATGAAGGACTACAAGTTTGAATAATGCGATTAATCGTTTTCAAAAGTTGGCACCCTTTGGGGTACTTTTAGTACGACTATTTCAGAGAATTCTCTACCCATTTTTGACATCAGCACATTTTTAACATGAAAATAGCTTTTTTTGAAGATTTTGCGACGATAATAGCTAGATAGCGATTGATTTGAGATGACCTTCCTTCCCAAGAGCAAACTCTGTGGTCGTAACGCTAAGGCTTGGAAAAAGGCAAATGGATAGTTTCAAACTATCAAGAGCCGAACAACCTGTAGTTTTTGAAAACAGGAAATTTCCTCTGCATTACACTATGTAACTTCTGATAAAAAAAACATGTAGCATGATCGCCCTATTTTTTTTGCTTCACATCATGACATGTTAGTTTGGTAAATTAGTTTATAATAATATATTATGCTGAATGCTCTTCAATGTTTAATTACCAGAGCCTCTGATGAGCGGCATCAAAAGTATTGGCAGTTCGCATTCATATTACTTGTGGAGATGTGAACGCAATTTGCATGCAGCTGTACTTTCAAGTGCTAAGAAATGTAGGGCAGACGATTTGTGAAGACAAGCAAATCCCAAATTTCTTAGTGGCTAGCAATAAGTTGAAGATTAATAACCTTTGTGCTTCCCATACAAAAGGAGGTAAATTACCAGTCGAATACTGTTGTCAAAGTGTAGTATGAAGGAAGGAGAATCTGATATTTGTTAACATCTTTGGAATAGATAGTATCCCTTTCAGCGGGAAAATTTTGTTTAATCGATTGAAAAACTTCATTTGTTGACGTTGGATTTGGTTTACGAATCCTTATACTCACAAAGCATAGAAGCGCATCTTGTTCTGAATGCGGT